GACACACCTAGGCTTTCCATTCTACTGTACCGCTAAACGTGGTGTCCTGCGTTTGCCATGGGACGGTGTATCCTATCGGAGAATACAATAGGGGGACAGTTCACTCAAAAAATGACAGCAAACTAGGTTATAGACCTAACAGCCTTGAGTCTGGTAGGGATGTCTAATAAAACTTAGAACACGCATTGCAATCAAGAAACTTGATATGGTTTCGTCAGGCAAACAATCGTATACAAAATAAATGGCAAAAAATGCCATGAACAACAGTTTCATTCTTCAAGTTTGTGTTTAGCTTTTTACGACTACTGCAACGTGGGTGGGGATGAACGTCCTCTCGGGAGCAGTAACCAGACAGTATGGTATAAGATCCGTTGATTTTACGGGGGCCGGGTGTATGTAGGTTGCTTTAAGCAGGATTAATGCATGATTTTGCCAAGCCTTCTCGTGTGTCGCGGCATAAACTGCTCGCTTTAGTAATTTTCTGTAGGTGTTTTTGGAATTAGACATAGTTCCGTGTCTAGAATGACCTCGGAGCGGGCCATGTCAGTCAGACACTTGACTGGGGTGTTTGTTTATGTCTCATAGTAACTTGAAAGTATACATAATTGTGTATTTGAAAGAATAACCCTACGATGTTATCAATGATATAGAGTGAAGAACAATGTTCTGGAAATTCAAATCCGGCTGACAAAGCAATGGTGACAGACAAAATAAACGTTTAAAACGAACATGAACAGGAAAAATACAAACAAGTACTCTGGCATAAAGGCCGTACCAAATAGGAAAGGTTAGAATACGTCTTTCTTGATGGACGACTCTGTGTTACATACGAGTAACTCCCGTAATGTTTGCCATTAGTTTGTTAAAATTATAAATTTTAGTTTCTGGAGCACTTGAAAAATGATCAACTCTTTCTCCGGACCGTACGGAGACGATATCTGCGCAGTCCAAACCCAACTGGCCTAATTTAAATTCATCAAATTTTAGACTGTGTAGACAATGTAGTCCACTTATGAAAGTGTGAATTTTTAGCGCGAAGCTATGGCGAAGCTAATAAATCATCTGGAAACATGAACAAACCACTGAGGCATGCAGTCTACCTCATTTTTTCAAAAAGAACCCAAACAACACTTGCAGAATGGATCTTCGATGGAGGAACACACATTGCATCCGTCACCGTTCTTATTTTTCCCAATAAGATTATCATGAGGTTACCAGACTAGCTACCGAATTTTTTCATAGGCACGAGAGCATCGACAGTTTGTAGTCTAATGAACGGTAAAGAGTTTCAGAATTTCTTACCTCCAGATCCGGAGCACATAATTTAGCTTACCATCATCTCTCCGTCTTTCGAGAGCATCTGTTGAGACGAAATGTGACAAAGTTCTGTGATAGTGTTGACTTATACACATAACTTTTCTTTTGATCCTGGCATTCATCCAAAGCGTTGAGGCATGCCGTCATAGTTCTGGTCCTCACTGCACCACTTACCAGTTTTTCTCAGTCTCTTGACGAAAATTCGTCCGTGCGTGAGCATTCAGGAAATGGTTGGATGAACTCGTAGACTGCGGACGAATACTGAAGCAGCAACAAAAAACGCCGAAATTTTGTGGCTAGCAAGTGTTTGCTTTTCCTAGCGATCACTCAATAGTTTTCGTTAGATCAATTGAAGGTGTTTTGAGTAGCTTTGATGTAGACCAAGTACCCTTGATAAACAAGTTAATGATTTATGTACCATAAATTGGGTCGGTGCATGCAAGTCGCCTTTCTGTGTTTGTCAATATGATGTAACGCAAGTTCTTCAAATTCTTGTAGAGCGACCCATCGAAACAACAATCCACACTGAAAAATGAGACGAAATTCCCCAGGGCCTCGAGGCGGTTTGTCATTTCGTGGAACTTGTACTCATGGTGCGATTTGTACTTGTGTCGGACACCCGTTTTCCGCCGTTCCTCCTTTTGGAGAAATTTTACGGTTTTAGAAAATCAAAGGTAGATTACAGTATTACTAACTGCTTTGCCGACATATTCTGATGGTTGATTTTCACCAAGGAACTCAGGATTACGGTAAACCTTTGAGCTGTCTGCCTCCTAATCTATCCAATGAGCTCAGAGGGTTTGATGTAAGGAGGCAACATCTGGATGAACTGGTGCACACTACTGCTGTTCATTGAATACACATTACCACTGCTGGATACGGCTCCGACTCCGACCTCTGTGAGGTTCAGATCGGCAGTCACTTAATCGACAAGGAATAAATACACCTGAGCTATTAATAATTCAGTACACTGCTAATAACGTTTACTTCGTCTCCCATGTGGTGACATGTCTTGAAATTGTGTATCCAAGATTAATTTCGCCAATCGCCAGGGACAAAACAGAAGAGTGGTACAGGAAAGTAGTGGTCTTGACTGCCAAATTTGTGTTTCTAATCTTGTCTTTGTCCACTCAGAATAACACGTTGTGGTGTTTCAGTTGGCAAGCAAACTAATCGCTGCGCCTCTTCGTCAGGTCTGATGGCTTATTTCCAGAACAAACCGAGGCGAGGAAAACTGTGTGTACTCGTTTAGTTTCCCCGAACGACAAGTACCATATATTCAGACAGTTATCTGTGCATGGCGGAGAAGAGATTGGAATTACTCGCAAGTCAGTCCACACCATGTGAACAAATATCTTCATGGTGAACAATAACAAACAGAGATGCAACTCAACGTTATGATTTGTTCAGGGAGCCGCTAGAGTAATGAAAATTGTGCACGATTAATCTGGGATTTTCTGAATCACTCATGGCGTGGTTAAGTGGACCGACTATGGTCGAACGTGGATAAAGGACGACGAATTGGTGAATTTTCCAGTTACGTCCTGAATGTTTTGGAATTTGGCAAATCAAAAGCTACCACGGACGCGTCGGTGAAGGATCATGAACCGATGCAATCTACATAGTCCAAAATGATCAAAACGAAGGGAAGGATTACTTCATTTCTATGTTTATTATAGCCAGAGCGAACTGCGCAAGAATTTTCAAGCAGAACTCAACAATACGACATGTAAACCAAACAAAATAATATACCAGTGCGGAGTGAACAACACTGGATATTCCAAAAACAGATCGTGTACAAGCGAAAGATACGATGTAAACCTGGACCAGAAAACATAATCACTGCTTGTGAAGAATTGATAAATCAAAATATATCTTGGCTTCAGTTTGACTAGTATTCTTCGCTAAGGAAGAAAGCAAACTAAACTGCGGCGCCAGATAGAGAACTTTGAGTCAAGCTTAGGTTTCACGATTCCGACTATCAAAATGCAGAGTTGGGTTCGAAAATCTACGTTGCAATTCACATAAAGGTAAACCCAATCATACAACGAACCTCACTTATCAATGGTCTTGGCGTCAGCAATTCTGACCGCAATTGCCATGGTCCGTACACCTGACGGCGGTGAGCCCAATGTTGCCTTGGTAAGGTTGATTGCGATCGTCCGAGGTCCGTCTCGTGATTCCGATTGGCGAACCGTCACAGCACGACAGACCTGGTCACAGGATGTCCACTAGACGGTACGAGCACGTATGGGTAAGCAGGTGTTATTTTGTTTATTGTTAGTGGGCAGCGAGGAGCATAACGCCCTTCGGTCAGATAACTCACAGTCAAAAGACCCCGTGACGTTTACTTGTGTGGTAGAAAGGGGTTGGGGAGGGGCATCTGTGGACACCAGTGAACACATGGCAGTATGCTAGTGTCGGACGGGGTAGTCTTTTCGGCAGCGTGGATTGTGGAGGAGAAAATCAAGTGTAGGATCGGAGTAAGCAAACTAATAAGGGGAGTATCATGATGTCAAGCTCGATCCAATCTGTTTGAAGTGAGGGTTAAATTGAGACGCGTTAGTTTTATAAGTTCCGTGGGCAGCATAATCCAAAAATCGAAATTTCTAACGGCTGCGTGGAACAAGTCTTGCGTTCAGGTGAAGAGCATCTTCCTGCTCAAGTCCGACAATTCTGCATGCAGTTTTTAGTTCAGACAGAGTTAGCAGCGAAAGAAGACTGTAAATAATATTGCCCACGTTTAGACAGCGCCGACCAGTCAGCATCTACAGAACTCACATTTCGCAGTTCACAGATCTCCTCAAATCTTTCGAAAGAGTGAAGTATGGTGCAGTATATGGAGTATTTACCAAAATTTTCAGTTTGAAGTGATGTGTTTCATTCCAAACCCTTTATTTTTGCATTATTCTGCTTGGTTTACATGGCATGCAGTTTTACTTGCTTTAAATTTATAATAAAGGACTTTTATTTTTGATGTTATTGCCTCAGATTATAGAGAATTGGGACGAATATATCAGAACCAGTCAAGAATGAACAACGCGATTTTCTAGTTTCATACCCTCCTTTTGCACTCATTTAAAAAACCTTTTGGAATCCCCTGGTAAGCAATTGTAACGGCCACTCCGTAGATCACGCGTCACTAACAAATGACGTAACAATTCCTGTCCCACTGACAACCTTAGCCGACATGTACACTAGAATTTCCCTTCAATTTTTTAAGTGGCTAGGCCACTCGGCCCGAACATACACACTAGCGAGCACTGGACAGGAAGTCAACGGAGCTCCACAAGCCTAACCAGGCGACTACGGAACAAGCGTAGCAGCCACACTGTAGAAAAGACACGCCCCGCCTCCGGAAGTTTACTCAGAAACTCTCAAAAGTTGTATTCAAACAGTGAATCACTTTTTTGCGTATTCCTTTATTGCGGAGAGAGTTTGAGCCAATTTCCTAATTTGATAACGGAGAATGGCTATGTTGGAGATTGCCAATCAGTAAGTGGCCACATGGTGTAGTTTTTGTGATGGAAAGACCTGCGGCTATGTAACTGGAGGGGCGGGGAATCATCCACTTTTAAGCCGCTGGTGGTCCAGCGGTTAAATGTTCAATCACCGGCCTCATTGTTGCGGGTTCGAAACTCTGGGACTTGTGGGAAGCGCATCGATTGTTATTTCCAATAAAGATGGAACAGTTATACCGTGCTCCACGGTCTTTGAACCTAGATTTGCTTCGCTTCGAGACGAAATCTCAGTTGCCAGTCCTGGCCTCCGTACTGCCAGGTGAGATAATAAAATGACTTTTACGTTTCATCTAGAATCCACCAAAAGAATTACTAATTATTGAGGTCATGTTGGCTGCTCAAAACGGACAAGTCTGAGTGAAAGAAAGAATTGGAGGTGTAAACCCGATAGACTCTGTGTATGGCATGTCTTCAACCTGGTGTGGTTCTATTTATATTTATCTGCAAAGCGGGTGGAATACAAGCAAGCACTTGATTTGTTCTATCCTATCACTCGTAGTCTCAACCTTATATCGCAACTGCACGCATCGTTCGTGAAATCAGAAAACTTGACATCAATTTCACCTGGTAGGTGGCATGATGTTCAAGCTTTGGATAGGGGGAATTCTCATGGGTATTTAATCCGTCGATATATCTCTTTTTCCTGACCTGTAGGAAGTTTCAAATAAACGGCCTGAAATTGCTGTTGAGTTGTTGACTTCTCAATCACATCAAGCCTTTCATTTCTCTCAAAGTTTTTTGGGGGATGGTTAGTATTCGGTGATTGTTGTACCATTTATCAGCTGATTCATCGCACACGTCACAATACGATCGGAGGGCATTAGACTGTCAATATGCTTCTATAGAGGTGACCATTTTCAAGCAGCGAAAGGGAATATCTTGAATGGTAGCAGCAAACTCATAGGTCCCAGTTTATATTACTGCACATATAAGTGACTTCAACGTTTACATGCGTCTTCTTTGAGTACGCGCGTGCAGTAACAAGTAGATTCAAAGGGGTGTGCGAGAGCTTGGTCAACCCTCTGGTTTTTGAGAAGCCAGAATGTGGTTCTCAGTGTAAAGCTGTAATTTATGGTGTATGTATTAGCTCCCGAAGAACCCAACTTTTCAGCACGCTTTATTTCTCTTACAAATTACGATTATTTGAATATTATTCCAAGGGTTCCTCACTGAGAGGCGGTGAACGAGTTACACTCCTTGATAACAAGGGTGAATATCTACAAAAGTAGATGCGCATTAAATCGAGTAATATTTTTCAATCTTGAGGATATGAGATTTAGTTTTTTTCATCTACTGTGTCAGCACAGAAAGAGTCAAAACGATTCTTTCTAATTATGAATTATTTTCTCTATGTAGTTTACGGCTTTCAGATAGGTTGCAAATTATTTTATTTTCTCTATGTAGTTTACGGCTTTCAGATAGGTTGCAACCATCTGTCAGGTCAGTAAACTCTGTCGTTTGTCTTTATCTACTTTCCAACAATTCCTCCCGAACTATTTTGTGGATAGATAAGATTTGGTAGAATCAAAGGAACACGTGCCACACATGTGTGCACATATAATTTCCTCGAAGAGATTAGCGCTATACGGAGAAAGGGCTGTGGTTATTTGTCAGCAAAATCAACCAATTCATTCGTTTATGGAGGGATTAGACTGAAGACAGTATACAGCATATACGTCAAGGAGGCATTTAGGCGGGTTTCACTAACGTAAGGATAAATAAACTCCGTCACTGAGGGTTTCACAGCAGCGTTTTGGGGTGTAAGTCGTGGACGAGGGTAGTTTTCTTTGAGTTAGATCTAATGAGCCTTTTCCTGGTTGTGTTTCTGTCTTGAGGGTTTATCGTTTTACCAAACGTGAACCTTGTAAAACGTTTTTTCTTTCACTGGTGGGAAATTAGTATCACCGAACAATGAAGCATACTCTATTGGTTGTTGATCAGGTGGCTGTTGATCTGTTCGCCGAGCTTGGCAATTGGCTTGCAAACGTTTCGTCACCATACGAGGAGACATCATCACTGCGCACAGCCCCATCACCTATAATTTTTTCTCAGAGGACCTGCTCTTATCCGGATTGCCCTTACGTTTGTTTTTTACGACCTAAAGTTAGAGCTTCCGTTGGTTGGGTCGACGTGCGCTGAGTTTGTATGTCAATATCACTTGAACGGAACTGCCGTTGCTTTGTTGTTATAAACGCGGATTCCCAATGTGACCTGAGGCATCGGTCATACGGTGTGTGAAAATCCATCAATGTCAGTGGATTGTATTGGCTCTTTGCGCTCTCGCTCAACCAATTACATTTTACAAAACAAGGATCAGTGCCCATTTCGATTTGGTTCGCGAAGCTATGTCTTACCGAGGAATTCTCAAACCTTATAAAAGCAATTTTGTTGACAGCCGACAATCAGTTTCGTCCTTGTGGAGCCCATTCAATAGGCGTAATCTCGGCGTTCGAGTCAAATTTGTGTTCCGTTTGCACCCAGAAGTGTACGTGATGCTTGGAGTACATTCATTTGCAAACTAAGTTATTTTCAACGGGAGATTGCATTCTAATTAAGTCTTCCGTTAATGACATTTTAACAAAATATGACGCACAAAGACCGTTTCCTGCTGGTTTCCGTTTTCAAAATCGCACTGGCTGAAAAAAGAGGTGGTACATCTGGCTGAACAGTATCGTAAACAAGAGATTAAGTTGGAATAAAGTATTCGAGTGCCTTACTTTGCGACTGAGTGATTTCCAGTTATAATGGTCTAATAAAACATTTACTCGCTAAAGAATCCTCAGGTACACTTAAAATATTCGATAGATATTATCACTGTTGTTTCGAGTTTTTTCGATGCCTTTGACTATGATTGACTTACATCAGTGCTAATTAGTGGGCTTCGTGTGGCAAACGTACAACGCGCTGTTGGTCAGTGGGAAGCCAGCAAACCAGCAGTTTTGTGGCACCGAAGTATTCCCAATGAAGTTATTGGTGAATACTTTCCTATCTCCGGACATTCTGGCGGAAAATCTTACCGCAAGTGCATGTTGAAATTTGATTTGAGTTTCATATGGTAGAAGCAGACTTTCCATTGTATAAATACAAACACTAAGCGTGTTGTAAATCCCCCTACCAATAGGTTACGCAGGACTTTGGACTACTCTCGTCTTCTCTATGTGAGACTCCTCAACGGATTGATAGATGTCATTGTATAGTCCGATATGTAATTTGAAAGTTTTCAGAGATTCCTAAAGATGTCGTGAAACGTGATTAACGAGGCTATCGTCTTAGCTGAACATTGATTTACTCGTGGATTTTCGTCAAGATATCCCAGGATTTCTTTTGTGCCAGCTCAAGAATCTTGTGATGAGATATTTGTGAAAGATGTCAGGAGGAGCCCTGTACTCAAAAACGAAATGAAACGTCTAACTTGGCAGGCAGATTGATATCCATTACGAGGTCACTTGAGTTTACAGTATTCCAACTCCATGCAAAGCTCTGAAGTGAGAATTTGTCAAGGCTAAATGATCCGTCCTTCATCTCCGTGCGAGGTCCGAGTTCGGAGACTGATGTGTAAACACACTGGTGTCTTTGTACGTACAACTTTTGCTCAGCTCAGCAACACTCTCAAAATCCTTGATTATTGTGATGTTTCTTGACGCCAGAACCTCTTGTGTACCAGTCGGCTTACGGAGAGCTGGAATGTGATTTTCACTATCGAGGAATGGTTCAATATAAAGTTCAATGCTTGTTGAGCATGTTCAGTGTGAATGTCCCATAATGACCATTGGTTTGTTCGATGAGCTGGTCCGTTATTACATGACCCAACAATGTTCTTTTTAATCGCAAAAGTTTAGTAAATTGGTCATCGGTTGGTTATTAACACTGCAAGACGCAGTTTTCAAATGGTTTCTACTGATCCCAACAGATTTCGGCATATTCTCAGAAGATGACAGAACATTTGAGGATATTGTAACAAAAGCAGCAATAGATTCACTGAAAAAAATTCTGCAGGGTCAGTGCAATAAAACAATTCGATTAACTGTAGAGAGAACCCTGAATATTACGTTATCTTATTACCATTGTCCTCTGTGTGGCGCGATAATTTTGCGCTGTTGTCAGATATTTAGTGTTTTTTTTTCATGCCATTTTTCAGCAAGGTCTGTTCACAAAGGGTCACTACCAAAGCTGTGCTGGTGGTCCAGCAACTCAACGAAAAAACATTGCGAGGCAATTCAGATGACAGACTTGATGGTTGTCTACAGGATTTAATTAACTGTTTTGGAATTTCTGTGAGACGTTGCTCGGAAATTCTAATAATAATGTTTTTTTTTGGATATTTGGTACCGCTAATCAAACGCTTCAAAGTATACTGTGATAAAAACCTTTCGAGCAAAGAGACTAACAAATGTTTTATACCATTTGAAGCAAATTGATGATAGATGTTTGAAAACTGGAGGAGCAGACTGTTACTTACAAGCAGATAACTTGATCCAAATTGTCGATGGATACTTCCATATCTTCTTGATGTCTGACAATATCCACTATAACAAAGGTCTTAATAAGGGTTTTTATGACCCCACCGGCTTCAGGGATTTAGCGACAGAACTAAGTAATCCAACAGGGATGCCACATGTGTTGGGCGTGAACCATGAAATAATGTAATTCTCATATGACACAAGAAGTACCAAAGCTGACCTAAACCAACTTAGTCCGGTAGGGTATGAGGAGAGCAAAAAGCATTAGGAAGAACTCCGTTTTCAAACTTGTGGTAGTCTCCTTTCCAAACCATCTAAGTGAAACTTAGCTGTGTTCGCTCATTGTGACCCTAAGTCATTGAGGTTGCTCCAAGTTTATTCTACAGGTTGGAATTGGATTTCTGTTACCCAGGAGGTTAAACAAACTTAAGCTAGATCGCAGTCCCGGATGAATCATATTTCGTTTGCATATAATAATTCTGGGCTTCTGAGCCACCTTTCCCTAACCCTTGAATTGCCCTCGAATTGGTATATATGTGGTCCTTTTGATATATGGATGGGTAAACGTGTTCATAAAGTTCTAGCTGGTTGACAGCAAACTGGGAGACACAAAATAGATGTGACTGGTTTACCAACTGTTAAATGTTTGATCGACTCCAGTTTTCAGTAACTAATCTTCCATTAGCTAACTACTAATAACAGTACATAGGAGTAGGTTCTGCTTGGCATTCTTGTTCATAGCCCTCCATTTGAGTAGGATGCACATTCTGCGTGGCGCGAAAAATCCCCTCTTAATTTACTAAAAATTTAAAGGCCTTATCGGCATTGATAATAACAGTCCCATGTAAATAAGCTGGAAATGGCTACCACATTGACAGGCATCTGTACTTTTGCTCATTTTCTAAGGTATGTTGACCAGTGAACGGCTTCTAGTCTATATTTTCTTATAAACTTAATCATGTACGAAAAATGTATGTGGTCTCTACTGTCAGTGGGAAGCTTGTAACTTTAGTCCTGTGCTTCTTTCATCATGGGTATTCAGATCCTGATCCTACTGAATTAGACTTTCTTTCCTACTGGACTATACGGTGTAAAACCTGCATTTGTCTGAATACTGTTCGCGCATACTGTTTCAGACAAATGCACCGCGACGCCACTTACACGTCCCTACTTTTTAAAACAGTCGATCCGCCAGATAAACTGTCAGTTTGTGGCACCACTGTTTGAGGTTTTATTGATTAAAAACAACTGGCACGACGAAACTGGAGAGACAGTTTGCCAGTGAATATGGTTTCTGAAAAGAAAGGTGTGAAAAGCTGACTAACGAGTAGAATTAAGTGGACGTAAAGTGATCATCAGTATTAAGCCTGAATAAAAATAACGATGACTCAAAATGTTGCAGTGGCCGGTCGCGTGGTTTTTACTAGAAGTTCCAAGGCCTCGTTAGAAGTAACACGTGAATTCAGGACAAAAAGGACTTTGGTCTTGAAAAATAACGGATAAATTAGCAACAATGTTACCGAATGTGCCTGCCATTATTGTGTACTATGGTCTAGCAACACTGCCAAGCTCTGTTCCTAAGCCAAGTTGAAAGAATACGAACATTTTTTCTACTGCAGCAGAGTGGGTCATTTACGTTCTATGCTTTCATTTCCTGAAAATGCGTAGGAAATTATTTTTTCAAGAGCTTTACTTTTCTAAATTAATTTGCGAAAAACGCTTCACACTGTGGTGTCGCACGTGCCAGGTCAAGTAATGGTCCTGGGGAGGCCAACGGGAGGCTGAGGTTATAGCTTAGTAAAAATTACGACAAATGTGTAAAGATTGACGGATCTTGTTAATAAGTCAAGGCATTCTACATACGGATGCACCTTAAATCGTCGTTCAGAGAACCAGATTCCTTGAAAATAATTTTCAGACATCCGATATCGCATGTTGACATTGAGAACTCTTCTTTCGTCTAGTTTAGTAAGAGCGCAAGAGAGCACGGGTGTCGCATTAAAGCGCTAGTGATGTAGATAGCGGATATATACAACCGGCAGAAACAGAGGTGTTACTCACCTTTAAATGTAGGTTTCTGCAGATGGGACTTTCTAATGAGAACGCGAGAGCCGCTGGTATCCACTGATGGTCAAATTCCTGGGATATACAAACGTCCATAAAAATCCTATGTTTTCACTGGAAACAAACTGAAAGAACCATGTCTAGATTCTCAGCATATCATTTAATTCCTCCAACTTCTAAAAGATGAGTGGGGTCTGTCAGGTTAACTTATCAAGTCGATTAGATTTGCAAAAAATCACCAACAGAAGATCAAGATTTTTGTTGCAGCTGAAACCTCTATTGAAGCTCAGGTGTGGTTCAGATCTTGATATCGCAGTTCTCCGGTTCCAGCATTTGTACGCAACCTTCCGGGGGGCATGGTTACAAATGGCTTCAACCCTGGAAAAGATCTTCGGCATAGTTCCGAAAGTTCAATAATGTGTTTAAAGGACTTGGTAAGTTTAAACGGTGCCCACTTTCAAGTAAGTGGGGCAAAGATTAAGTTAAAGGATATGTTAACATTTTTTCTTTGGATATCTTATAGTCCCAGTCCGGGCGCAAGAATTTACATACTCTCACCTAAGTAGTATGTCAAAGAATCTTGTCTGACAGATGTTATTTGCTGATGGGTTGCACGTGCCTTGTCTGCACCAAGTCTTCTAGCCTTAACTTCGCTTTCTGGGTCACGTTTAAAATTCTAGCCCGTTTACAAGGTAGATGGGACACAGAAAGTTTAACAGATTCGAGGGTCACGTGATGGCGTACTAGGTGGTCTGCCCATCAAGTCCTTCCAATCCTTTTTTAAGCTTATGATTACCCGGGGCATAATATTTCTCCCATAGCCGTTCGTTTTTGGAGCAATGCACAAGATTTTGCTGACCCCTGCTGGCCTCACAAAGCCCAGCTCTTTCTTTCTGCTCCAGATCATCAAGACTATAAGAGGATTAGATATGCTTTCATAACTAATATAATTTTACAGATCGGTTTTGTTAGAAGCAACCAGAATGTATGTGAAATCAAAATAAACATGGCATATCATACATACATAAAATACATAGTGTAATTTTCCTGTACGGGTGAATGGACGCAAATAATTCCACGAGTTGGTGATGTGCCGGGTCGCACGGGTGCTTTCATTTGTGGCTGAGCTGATGGCCTATTATCTGATCACCGAGGTTGACAATCGGTTTGAAGACATCTATTTACTAATCCAGGGAACATCAAGGGTGCACAGTTGAACCTGCATTTATGTGGTTTTCGAAGAAAGAACGTCATCACAATCACATCTCGATCTCTTATCCTCTCAAAAGTTACCAGGTTTGCAATTTTTGTGAATCAAATTAAGTCTGGTTCATTCTTTTATGAAACAAGAAATTTTATTTCATTTAGTGTGTCTTACGTTGCACCAATACTTTATGGACTGTTTTGTTGATATTCAAGTAAATTCTACAACATCAATTGGAAGGTTCTCAAAATATGAACCAAGCGTCAGTCTCTATGGTTTTGTTAAATTCAAACTAACTATTCTAGTCGTATATCTCAAGGTTATGAAACCTAATCAAACTAAATTCGGTAATAGTGAATTAGGTTGGAACCTGTTGGATTTCGGTAACCGGATACGTCACTTTGAAATCCTGTGCACGTTCAGAAGTGAACTGGGCTAAAACTTCAGTTAAGGAGTTCACTAATTCCACCAGGTACCAAGTCACATTCTTTTGTTTTAACTCAGGAGACTTTGTCCTAATATGCAGTCTCCGGTTGTAAAATTTTTCAGGTTGAACGATAACTGCTCGACCTACGATCTTTCAGCCAAACTCGCTTGACAGAGCGCCAGATTGCTCATACTTCCACTATTCCGTTTTTAATGGCAAACCAGTGTCCTAATCGAATCGAATTATATCTCGCAAAACACGATTTGACGTCCTCTGGGAATCTATTGTTACTCGAGAGTTCCCTGTGTATTCGGTGCTTGTAGTTTTCCACTCCAGCTAGTAACACACATAATACCAGGACTGGTCACTCGTTGTTGAGTGTGGGATGTTGATAACAGTATGGGTGAAAATTTCCATCTAAGCATATTGTTTGGATAACCCTGGGGAAAATTTAACCATCTCATCAAAAACATGGGTATCATTTCATCTGTTAGTCGCTCAATTACTGGGAGCGAGTCAAAAACGTTTGCTACATGTTTGGATTTAGCCTGCAAGCTCTCAGGTTTAACTTAAGTTAGAATTTAGTTTTTCATGTGGTCTTTATGATTTGGAAAGCCCACTAACCTAATCGATAGTGATCAACATCGACCGTATGAAAGTTAGATAATGAAACAGTCGCAATGCCCACACTGTCATCAGACATTTTTCTCTGTTAGTTGATCAGGTGTTCGTTGATCTGCTCACCTGGTGTTACCATGGGCTTGCAAATATTATGTTATCGTTATCGTATTATCGCATCATCGCCTTATCAGTGCACAGTTGGATGCTTATGTCCTCTTGTAGTTTGTAAAAATATCTTTGGGCTCGAAAGTGATTTCTTAGTCATAAATCCTCTTACTGGAATTCTGGCTGTTCCGTTCGCAATCTGGCTTTCTTGCAGGTGGTTGTTCCATTACAATGTAAGGGTTCAGTTACAATGAGGTGGCTGTTCCTTGTCGTGAGCATGACGACGATAATGATACTATCAAGGTCAAGTCAGTCCATAAGTAATTTCTTGTAAACGGTAGTTCATGGCTGCTCATTAGAACACTGGATTCAGAACGTTACTCTCTGGGGTAGGAGGTGTTTGAAAATACCGCTCTCCACGTTTCATGGAAATAAACTTGCAATACTCTCCCGTTGGTAACAACTGATTGCTTGTGTACCACGGACTCATATATTCATTCTCCAAAGTGTTTCTCCAGTGCTTTAATTCAGACGAATCACAGGGCTAGAGAGAATGCAGCAGCCCTCCTTATATATGTTTGTCCTCATTATAAAGCGAAATTTGTGGTCAGTTTTAGCGGGGTTACCAAGCTTCAGCGTGGGTAATGGCCTCACCTTTAGATGAAAGGGGAAGAAAAAATTGCAGGGACGTCTACTGCTTTCTTTCGTTTCAGATAAAAATCACCCCGAATACCGTAAGAAGACCAAGCAAAGTTTAGTTCTAGAGCGTCTAAGTTGTTTTGTGTCCAACAATGATGAAATCGAGTGATCACGCCTCACTCCGACCCTTTCTACTTCATTAGTGGACACTATTTTACAACACAAGGCGTAGATTACAAAACCAAACTCGATGAAAAGCAAAACGAAAAGGTACAGGCAATATAAACAAATTTCTGGGTGGATTTAATAAGAATAGCTTCTAGGCTTTTAGGCTGTTTCATTCTCTCGGGGTATCAGGTGACTAGTAGTGGCCAGGAGCTTATCAAACGAAACACAAAAGACAAGATTTCAGTGTGACATTGTGTCAAATAGACTAGATGGAGGTTGCTGCATGGACAGGACATTTTTTGAAAGGAAGAAGTCCGTATACATGAGGCTTCCATTCAAAGGTGACTCGGTTGCGGAACTAATCACCAGAAGGCTCAGAAACTCCGTTGATACGACATACTTGGCCGCTAATCTATGTTTGAGCTTCAACTCTAGCCCCACTATCAAATTCTGCATGAAAGAGAAATCGTCACATTCTACCACCAGCTTTTGTGTACTCAGTTGTATGCTCGTGCCGAGCATCATAAATTGGTCGTACGACAAGGCATTTGTCGCACAGAATACGAGAACACAATCTGAATGTTAGTGGGAAAAAACCAGGCTCAAGCGCGATCACATCATATTTGACCGAAACCTGTCATGTCATAGACAAGGAGCAAGCCTTCACCATCATAAACCGGGTATCTCTGAACCGATCGCGAATAGTACGATCCAAAATACTATCGATCGCAGAGGCGATTGGAATCCGACTGCTGGATCCGCAAATTGTGCGACCTCTGAACTTGAACTGGCCTACGAAAAATCCGGTCCCACAAGTCCGTCCGACATTGACGTCACTTACCTGACTCCGTGACCCATTGATCTCTCCCTCATCCAACCCCCTTTCCTTTGATTTCTATTTCTAAAGTGTACGTAGCCACGATCTTAACCTTTTCCACGTGATCTCTGCTACCATATAAATTTGTGAAGTATTAGCCAAGATGAACAATCACAGAAAACAATCTTCGTTCGCTACATTCTTCGTTCTCTTGACTACCACAGGTATATTCAGCCGCCATTTGTTTGTCTATCAAATAGATCGAAGCAGCATAGTTCTCTGGAAATGCTCAGGGTAGTAACTGCATGACAAGCGAAGATACGCTGTTTCTGAGAACAACAGCAATGAAGGAATATCGCTGAGATGCAGTGGCCCGTGTCGAATTCTTCCAAGGATAGGTAAGTTAACAGGGGATGTCCCACCATACACATGATGATAGCAATCCAGAGAAACCTTGTGATAAATTAATGGGAAGAAATTCGAGGAGACTCGTAGGTTACTAGCGAACTATACATGAATTTGGTATCAATCGTCAAATTCGAATTAAGACATACTGGACATACTTGTTCAGAGAATTGTTATTGAGTTCAAGTCGAGATGCGTTCGGTTGTTCACGACTTATCTTCGTTTCCGTTTTAAAAAGCTGGTATGAAATATTGATTTTGTCATTGACACCATAGACACTCTCCAAGGTATCTAAAAGCACAATTCACGTGGTATTTCGACATATTTTCTGACTCAGTTTGAAGACAATTGACCCCTTCCTGATCGGCGAGATTTTGGAATTCGGTATTAACAAATGTCCGTAGGAGTCAAGCAACTGATGGAGGCATGAAAAAACAAAATTAATGATGGACGTCTTCTGTTTATATGGTTGTTGTTTTTCGTGGTTGTCGGTCACGGGCGGCTGAGATCGCGTGCAAACGCACAGAAATTCGCCAGCTGACGATTTTCCTATTTCCACCTCAACATATATGCTTCCTATGTTTCAAGAAAAGTAGCCTCGTTCATTCCCGACTTCGGTAGGCAATTCCACTCTTTCAGTCGAATACAGAACCTCTCCTGACAAAAAACACAATCAGGGATATTTGTCAAGAAACGACTCATAACATTCCTATCAACTAAAGTGTACGAAGGGATGAAAAAGTCTTTTAGTAGAAAACCCTATCTGAAATAATGAGTATTATCAGATGGAGAAGGATATGTGACGTAGACCCCGGGTGTTCGGTCAACCAAATTGCACGGAATCAGCGAATATACAAACTAATTTGGTTTTTCGAGAGACTCACCTGGAACCCACCTGAATTTCTCGTTTGTGATGTTCTCAGGTTTCAAGTAGAACATAAAGTTGACGGAAAACCCGAGGACTGCGCCTACCTGATGAGCCCCAAGAAGGGCGAAACCGGTCGTGGGCTGCCGAAGGATTTTCAGCAACCTTATGAGTAGTGCATTACGAATATATATGTATCGCGATATCTCGAATATCACAGCGACTGAAACATTGGGCGGCCTGGTGCAGCACATTCATTTGCCTGAGAACATCACAAACGAGCGATTCAGCTAGGTTCCAGGTGAGTCTCTCGAAAAACCAAATTAGTTTGCAAATGAGTGTATATGTGACGTACTTTGATGAGTTGGAGGTGAGAAATATTCCCAATGGGGCCAGCGTCACTGCCAGAACAACCTCGGTCAAAAAAAGAAGCTGATCTCACATGCTGGAGGACGTGTCTGTGGAGAAACAAATGTCGAGAATGAAGCTGTCATGAGTGTAAAACTCAACGGTGAAAAGGCAAGAAAACAACTGTTAGTAGTTGACATTCAGCAAAGAAGTAATCGCGTCAGCACCCTCAGGTAATTCGCAAAGATAGCAAAAAGGAATGTGATATCGGGGTCTGCGTATACAAACATCTTGGACTTCAAGCTGTGGAGGGAATATGAGAGGGCGTGTGAAGCGCGCGGGTCACCTGCGAAATGGAAACAATTGGAGATTTGCGACAGTGTCTTTGGCTGGGGTCACGAGTTCTACCGATTTCAGCCTCAACTAAAGACAACAAAGCAGGCGAGGAAGGGGGCAAAACTCGTTGGATCTAGCGAGCGTTCTAGTTCAGTTCGTGGATGTCAGGCACAGAAGTAGTATGAAATATTAGAAAACGGTATTCTTGACATTCGCGTTTGCAAGACAACAAGCCAAAGCGACGGGGTTACATACCTCGAGGGTCAGTCGATGGTAATACCTTGCGCAACAGTTTGATCCACGTGCTGTCTGAAACGGTATCTCCCCTTTCGCTTGATTTGTCGGACCTTGCAAAAGACGTGATTGGAGCAGACCAGCATTCTTTGAGAAGTAATGTTCACACACCAGGCCATTTACGTACAAAGTTTACCCAGATTAAACGAAACTGTGTACTACATTTCACTATGTAGACGTACAAAATCCGTACTAACGGCGAAGTGGTGTTTATCCAATAGCTACTTCAAAATCTTTGTGTGTTAGCGAATGTTTGCATTAAAAAACCCAAAATGTCAAATAGTTATCTTTGAAAACGCCCGCCTGATGGAAAATAACTCTACACTCTCCTCTACCAATAATGTCAGCTGTTTTTAGTCATTAGATTAACCAAATGGTTTACGTAGTAGTAAATTGGTACAACGCAAAATATTCCATTACTTCATCAATTTTCAATGATGTTGCTTGAGCAAATGACGTAACATTCCGTGTTTAGTAGCCAACAATGTTCTGAGGCATATCTGAAGCGGATAAATATACAAGTCGATTTGTTCTAATGAATCTAATCTATTATTTTTGACAGGCTACATGTCCTACGCTCAAACGTGTCGTCGCCACTATTTGTTTCCAAATGCCGCCGAATCCAGCGGGATAGATTAAGCGGGATTGGAATAGCAATAAATAACCAGGAAACCGGTGTTTTACGTAATTTATTATGCATGAAATGTCACAGAGTGGTGTCCATTGATTTTCAGTCGCACTGTTCTAAGTTTGCTACTTTATCAGTGGCTGTTCGTTTGCTACAAAGTCGTCGTTGGCCGCGTCACGATTCTGGGTAAGTATGAGGCCAGTATGACTTATTGATACCACGTTTATTGATTGAAGGGGCTGTAACGCATAGTTCGAACATAGAGACTTGTGAGCAGACGGGTAGATTTCGAATGGTGTCTTGAGGATATAACCAAGCCCATTTGATAGCCTGTCTATTAACTAAATACGATTTAATCGATTTGCGGTGACACACCAATGGGCCAGTCTAGACCATGTCTAGACCAAACAGCAATACATGAACTCATAAAACCAATACTTTTTGTCCCAAGAAGCCAACAGCTTGAACTGACAGATTACTGTGGCTGAAAATCCCTTGTACAGACGTTTTAAAGCGGATACAATGTGTACGTAATCGATCATCGCTTAGGTTCAAACCCATTTTATTGGGCTGTGCAGTGTCCTAATGGTTCGCAAATTTTGTGGGCGAACTTGCTCAAAAATCTTTCAGATGAAGAGATGGGTTAACTCGACAAACAAATCTTGTGAATAGACGCCGGCTACCTCATTTGAATTCCAGTACAGTTGGTAAACCCATCAGTATGAGTACTAGGCTCATTTGGTGATTAATGTACTTGATTGATACTGTTCCAGATAAATAAGTAGAAAATGTTTCGTCAGGTTTATTGCAACTACAGTTTTCGCTCCATTTAAATGTAGTTTGAATCATTTCATCAGGAACAAACACATCCCCTAGGATCACTCACTGATAAATATGAACTAGAAGGTTGTAATCTCGTGTAGTACCAATTGGGAAAACATTTTCAAGAAGCCCAGCTGGATACTTAACGTAACATATATTTTCGAGACGTCCATTGTGAGATGGCTTTGTCTTTCCGTTGAGTTTGGACTTTTGACTTCTTTCTCTCGGAACTGGTGTAATGTGTTTTTAAGAATAGCAATGAAATTTTCACAAAGAGCCACTCGCAATTTTGTCCTGCCAACTATGTGAGTGTTTGCGCTATGGCTCCAATGAGCCAATGAGTAACCAGCTCACTGGTGTGTTCCGAGTTGTTCACGGTTTCCCCTAGAGATCCGGCGAATTGCATCCCTCAAGTTTACCAGGGTTTATTCAAGGGTTTGACATCTATACCTCATTGATCTCCGCGGTGCTGCGGGGCGAAGCAAC